CCCCAACAGGGACTAGAACCCGGGATGCCGGCGCCGCAGGCTGAGAATTAGCCTAGTGAGTCGCGGCGCTGGCCCTTCTCATGGATTTTCAAAATACTAGTTGCAAATTATATTCAGTCTTATTCTTCTCTCCATACCTCTATGTGCCCTATGTTCTTCCAATCAATTTTAAAGTGCACCTTTGGCTTACATGTCTTCATATTTTTTCTCTCACTGCTCCTTCAATCCTTAAGTCTTTATTAACATCCTTCTCATCCTTCAAGATCCAATTGAGTTGCCACCTTGCCTTTGAACCGTCTAACCCCAAGTCACACAAAAGAAGAAATGCCTCTTCATCGGAATGTCTACAGTTCATTTGTACATGTACTTAGCAACCTATTTCATTTTCCTTCCATGCTGTCTCCAAAGGCTACATAAAGAATTTCAAGAGAGCTTGCTAATAGAATTAGAAAGACATGGGTTGCAACTGCAGCTCTACCCCTCACTAGTTGCGTGACCTTGGGCAGCATACCCAATTTAAACTGTCTCATCCTCTTTTCATCATCCGTAAAATGTGGACAATAATACCTATTCCACATAATTATCATGAGAATTAGAGAAATCTTTATGCATAGAAATATCTGCAATTATCTAAATAATCAGTGTCTGAAAGGAATATTTTCTCCAGGTGGTTTTCATTAGATAAACTCCTCTGATATTTTTCCTTCTGGAGAAATAAAAAGCAGCAACTTAGAAAATCTGTGACAACTCAACAACAACAACAACAAAATTGTCTGAGTTGGCAGATGAATTAGATAAGCTCCATAGATTGTTTCATCCTTTAGATACCCTGAAATAAAAGAAAGGCATGCAGTGTATCTCCTAGTAGAGAACGGTATAATTAGTGCACTATGGGTGGCCCCCAATTTACTGAGGTTCAGCATGGCCTTTCAACTCTACAATGGTGGGTAATAAGCTCTCAGAACAAACTGTACTTCAAATTTTGAAATTCGATCAGGACCAGTGATGTGGCATAGTAGGCTAAGCCTCTGCCTGCAGTGCCGGCATCCCATATGCATGATGGTTCAAGTACCGGCTGCTCCACTTCCAATCCAGCTCCCTGCAAATGGCCTGAGAAAGCAGGGGAAGATGGCCAAAGTGCTTGGGCCCCTGCACCTCTGTGGGAGATCTGGAAGAAGCCCCTGGCTTCTGGCTTCAGATCGGCTCAGTGGCAGCCACTGTGGCCATTTGGGTAATGAATCAGCAGATGGAAGACCTTTCTCTTTGTCTTTTCCTCTCTCTCTGTCTGTAACTCTGCCTCTCAAATAAATAAATAAATAAATCTTTTTTTTTTAAAAGAAGAGGGGCTGGCGCCGTGGCTCACTTGGTTAATCCTCCACCTTGCAGCGCCGGCATCCCATATGGGCGCTGGGTTCTGATCCCGGTTGCTCCTCTTCCAGTTCAGCTCTCTGCTGTGGCCCAGGAAGGCAATGGAGGATGGTCCAGGTACTTGGGCCCTGCACCTGCATGGGAGACCAGGACAAAGCACCTGGCTCCTGGCTTCGGATTGGCATAACTCTGGCCGTAGTGGCCAATTGGGGGGTGAATCACCGAAAGGAAGACCTTTCTCTCTGTCTCTCTCTCTCTCACTGATAACTCTATCTGTCAAGTAAATAAAAAAAAAAAAAAAAAAAGAAGAGGAAAAAATTTGAACTTGCCCAGGGCTGGTGAAATGCAACTCAGTCCCTTCTCATGTGTCTGGGCAGCAGCAGCAAGCACAGGTCCCAGTTGACCATGAACTCACAAGAGGAGGTTGCCAGCACTTGGCAGAGCATGGTGTCGTTGAACTAGGGTGCCTGGTAGATTAGGTGGATTAAATGCATTTTCAACTTGTGACATTTTTAATTTGCAATGGATTTATCAGGACAGAACCCCATTTTAAGTCGAGGAGCCTCCATATATTGTTTGCATGTTTCTTTACTCTGCCCCTCTAGATGGTAAGTTCCTTGAGAAGATGACTCCTGCCTTACCCATTCCTGGATAACCTCGGTGCCTAAGCAGAGTGCAGTGCAGAGTTAATAATGTTGAACTGAGCTGAACTAAATCTGACTGAATTGAATCCCATCAGGCAAACTAAACATGTGCATCAAAGAGAAAAACCATATGATATTCAAGATTCACTTCCTTCCCCCACTGTCCCGTCTCCTTGACCCCCTGCTCTGTTTACATTAGCACAAGAGGCATCTCCCAGCTCCGTTTCCCTCTTCTTCCATTAGCTTCCATCTGTTGCTTCTGCTGTATTTCACCCTCCCTGGAAAATGTCGCCTTCCCTAATTATTTTACTTTAGTATCCAACCCCGCATTCGTGGATATGCTGTTTGTATGATCTGTTGAGTGTTTCATTAGCAATGATGCGTACCCTAGGAAGGGGAGTGTTTATTATTCATATTTGTCATTATGCTGGAAATACACTCGCTTTTATCATTGTGGCTCTTCTGTGTCTGTTCAATTTGTCTTCCTTTTGCTCATCTCACTTCAAAAACAGCCTGACTCCAGTTATAATTGTTCAGATTTGTAGCAGATTAGTTGGGCCTTCTGACATCTGTATAACCTCAAAAGAAGAGGAAAATATGCACTGGGACCTCACAGCCAATGGACTTGCAATTGCTTTCCTGTCCTCTTAACAACAGATAACACCAGGCACTTCCCAAAATGAGGACACAGCATGTTTGTTGACCTATTATCCATCTCCTGAAAGCAATCATTGAACTCATCCATCTGCTCTGTCAGTGCATATTCTTCTCCTTCCCTCAGTGAAGTTAGGAAGATTGAAACCAAGGGTAATTGTAATGCTGTTATCAATAACAACTATTTCATATTATATTACAATCAAAGTATTATATCTACCAGCTTCAAAGCTGCAGGCTAATTGTAGAGATTTGTTTTTTTTTTTTTTTAATCATCTCTCTTAAATAACTGAGAACTACCTGAGAAGTCTAAGAAGCATACGAATTCTGATCTCCAACCCCCAGAAATTCAGTGGGTCTGGAATGGGGTCAAAGAATCTGCATTTTTGTCACATTTTCCAGGTGGGTCTTAAGCAGGTAGTCTGCATGCAACAGACTGAGTAACAATTGTTAAAAGTGACAACTATCCATAAAATTTAGGGGAGGGCCAGTGCTGTGGCATAGTGGGTAAAGTCGCCGCCTGCAGTGCTGGCATCCCGTGTGGGCACTGGTTTGAGTCCCAGCTGCTCCACTTCTGATTCAGCTCTCTACTATGGCCTCAGAAAGCAGTAGAAGATGGCCCAAGTCCTTGGGCCCCTGCACCCATGTGGGAGACACAGAGGAAGCTCCTGGATCCTGCCTTTGGATCAGCATAGCTCCACCATTAAGGTTGATTGGAGAGTGAACCAGTGAATGGAAGACCTCTCTCTCCGCCTCTCCTTCTCTCTGTGTGTAACTCTTTGAAATAAATAAATAAATCTTTAAAAAAAATTTAGGGGAACCAAACAAATGCATTTAAATGATCATTAGGGAATAATAAGACAATGGGTAAAAAGATTTGATTTTTAGGCAGTTGTTAAATCATGAAATCTAGAGTCAGTTTAAAATTTAAGATTGTCTTAATGAGTGCCTGAGACAATACTTAACTTTTAGATTTTTAGGTTTCTTAATTGTCCTCATCACATGAAAACTTCTCCCAGACTGGGCAATGCTGAAAGGGATCAGGAAGGAAGCTGCAGAGCCTGTGTATGAACTGGGCTCCAAAGTCATCCATCATCACCACTGTTGATTCTATAGTTAGAAGAACCACCTGAAGCTCAGTTCACAATAGCTAAGATATGGAATCAACCCAAATACCCATCAACTGAACGCTGGATAAAGAAATTATGGGATATGTACACCATGGAATACTACACAGTGGTGATGAAACTAGAAAACATCATACCTAGCGAAATAAGCCAGTCTCAAAAGGACAAATACCAAACGCTCTGCCTGATTTAAGGTAACTAACAAAGCACCTAAAAGGTAATCTATAGAAGTGAAATTGACACATTGAGATGGAATGACTTGGAACAGCACTTGCCTAGACTGTTGAGGGACCGCTTTTTTTTTTCATGCTATTGGTTGAACTCTTAGTGTAGAGTTAATCTTCTGTGTATAAAGTTAATTGAAAATAGATCTTAGTAAAAAGTAAGAATGTGAATAGGAGAGGGAAGAGGAAGGGTGGGAGGGTGGGTGGGAGGGCAGGTACAGTGGAAAGAATCACTGTGTTCCTAAAGTTGCATTTATGAAATACATGAAGTCTGTATTCCTTAAGTAAAAGGTTTCTGGGGTTCCGGGGGTAGGGAAAAAAAGAAAACAACCAACAAGTCCACAAGAAGGAAAATTATGCTCTATTCTTGGAAAAGAATACATATCAGAGAAGTTGTAGGTATATTTTAAATTAACACAGCTCCTAGGATTTTCTTCATATCTAAAATCTTCAATGATTTTATCACTACTCTTTCCCTCTAAAACTGAAAGAATTTCAAGTTTTTAAAAAAAAACTCTTGACTTTTCTTGTGGTAACTGCACTACTGCTGACCTTTTTGATATTTAGGAATTATGTTCTTGTTACTTTAATAAAATAGAATAAACTTTAATGCTATTTTACTCAAAGAAAGCTCATATTCCTAAAGTAAATGCCACTAGATTTCCTTCAAAGCTGAGGGTACAGTAGAAATTTGACAAGTTCACAATCATCTAGAACAATATGGTCAAACCAGAAAATGACAGTCCCAAATTTATTTTATCTTATTTTTTTTTTTGTCTGCACATTAATGTTTATTGCAGCTCAATTCACAAGAGCTAAGACCTGGAACCAACCTAATTGCCCATCAACAGTAGACTGGATAAAGAAACTATGGGACATGTACTCTATTGAATACTATACAGCAGTCAAAAACAATGAAACCCAGTCATTTGCAACAAGATGGAGGAATCTTGCAAACATCATGCCAGTGAATTAAGCCAGTCCCAAAGGGACAAATATCATATGTTCTCCATGATCGGTGACAACTTACCGAGCACCAAAAAGGAAACAGGAGTTGAAATCTTTCTTGTTGCTTCTGTGATTACTTGTTCTAAAGGTTTCCAGATCTGAAATGCATAGCGACCTGCAAATGCAAGAGCTGCAACACCCAATCCTACAGCTATCAAACTTCTTGCCAGACCGTGGTCGATCTCGGCGTCAGGCCGTTTGGCCGAGGGCGGCACGTATTCCGCATAGCGCAGCCCCTCGCCGGCGGGGGCGACGCCAGCCCGAGCAGCCATGGCGAGGCGGCCCCTGAAGACGCGGAGCGCCGCAGCGCCGTCTACGAGGCGGCCGCAGGGACAAACTACTGAGGGCCCGCTCGTTTGCAGGTGCAGGTAAGGATGCGTCCGTGGCGCCGCCGAAGGTGAGTGGAGATTGAAGCCAAATTTTAGCAAATTAGCTATTTGGCCTTCAGCAAATATTTTTTCTGGGTACTTTATAAAACACATACAATGAAAACATTTATGCTTTATGGTCCTTTCTATATGTAATATTAGAATAGTATCTGAATCACTAAGAGATTTGTTAGATTAAAGACAGAATGAATCAACCCTATTTTCCTTTCTCTTTTTGAATCTGGAAAGACAAAGTATTCAGCCACCCCACTGATGAGTTAGTATAGCCCTCCAGTTGCTCAATGATGAAAATGAAATATCAAAGATATACTACAATATCTGATGACCTGGATGAATAATACATCATCAAAACGCATGCCTCTTGTGACAGGTCACTCAACAAAGCAGATCACCAGGACCACTGTTATGGCACAGTGGGTTCAGCTGCCACCTGCAAAGCTGGCATGACATATGAGCATTGCTTCCAGTCCCTGCTACTCCACTTCTAATGCAGCTCTCTGCTAATGCACCTGGGGAAGTAGCAGAAGATGGCCTAAGTGCTTGGGCTCCTGCCACTGATGTGGGAGACCCAAATGGAGTTCTAGGCTCCTGGATTCAGGTTGGCCCAGTCCCAGCTGTTTCAGCCATTTGAGGAGTAAACCAGTGGATGGAAGATCTCTCTCGCACGCGCGCGCTCTCTCTCTCGCCTTTCAAATAAATAAAATAAATCTTAAAAAACAAAGCAGGCCACCTTTGAAGTCAAAAGTTTCATGAGAATTATGACACAGACACGTATGCTAGAAATCTTCCTGGCTATTCAAAACCTGGAGGATACACAAAAGTATGCAACATATGGTCCTTTTTGTCCATTACCAATTTCCCGTGCCAAAGACTGCAAACTCATAAGTCATACAAAGCAACTGAATTCAATTCAGCTCCTTGGTCAAATTCCTTCTGCATCATCCAATATGGTCATAATCTTTTACCTCACAGCACCAATAGCCTCAATGCTGAGTGTTTTAAATTTTATATTAAATTTCTTCCTCCATATTGATTTTCCTTCTCCTTTGTGTTTATAAAATCTAATTAATTTAATGCTGTATAATACAGTTAGTTAGGTTTCTTTTTTCCTTTAAATGATTTATCTAAAAACACAGTGATTTTTCTCTCAAGTAAAAATAGCTTTTTGTATGCATAGATACCAATAAACACCTCATTTTATTTCATAAAATGCTTTCTTACATATTGCTTTATTTAATCCTTATGACAAATCTGAAATGGATGAAGCAAGCATTTTTTTTAAAGATTTATTTATTTATTTGAAAATCAGAGTTACACAGAAAGAGGAGAGGCAGAGAGAGAGAGAGAGAGAGAGAGAGAGGTCTTCCATCTGATGGTTCACTCCCCAATTGGCCACAATGGCCAGAGCTGTGCCAATCCAAAGCCAGGAGCCAGAAGCTTCCTCCGGGTTCAGGGGCCCAAGGACTTGGGCCATCTTCTACTGCTTTCCCAGGCCATAGCAGAGAGCTGGATCGAAGTGGAGGAGCCAGGTCTCGAACCGGTGGCCTTATGGGATGCCAGCACTTCAGGCCAGGGTGTTAATCCGCTGCACCACAGCGCCGGCCCTGAAGCAAGCATTTTTAATACTTGTCTTACAGAAAAAAAGGTTCTGGTGGTTAATGGGTACAGAGATACGGTTGGAAAGAAGGAATAACTTCTAATACTTTCTGGCACAGTAGGATAACTATGGTTGAAACCAACTAATTGAATATTTCAAAATAACTAGCAGAGGCCAGCGCCGCGGCTCACTAGGCTAATCCTCCACCTAGCGGTGCCGGCACACCGGGTTCTAGTCCTGGTCGGGGCGCCGGATTCTGTCCCGGTTGCCCCTCTTCCAGGCCAGCTCTCTGCTGTGGCCAGGGAAGGCAGTGGAGGATGGCCCAAGTGCTTGGGCCCTGCACCCCATGGGAGACCAGGATAAGTACCTGGCTCCTGCCTTCGGATCAGCGCGGTGCGCCGGCCGCAGCGCGCCAGCCGTGGCGGCCATTGGAAGGTGAACCAACGGCAAAAAGGAAGACCTTTCTCTCTGTCTCTCTCTCTCACTATCCACTCTGCCTATTTAAAAAAAAAAAAAACAAAACTAGCAGAAAGGATTTTGTACATTCCCAACACAAAGAAATGACATATGTCTGAAATTATAAATAACTTTGATCTGATCATTTTACACTGTATATGTATTCAGATATCTTTTTATTCCCCATAACTATGTATAATTATGTTTCAATTTTTAAAAAATTTAAAGAAATTGAGGTCCTGAGATTTTCTGATGTCCCTAACGTCATGCTATCTAGAGCTAAGAAAATATAGGGGCATATAGGAGATATTCTAAATCCACCCTTGAATTTGCAACTCTTCTATATTTGCTCATATTGCAAAATGTTAAGTACACAGAACTTATATCTTAAACATAAACACCATCCTTCATAAACACAGGGGAACATAGATTTCTCACCACCGGTAAAGAACAATTTAGAGAACTGTTACCAAGTAGGGTAATATGAGTCGGCAGTTAAAGACAGAATGTGACATATTATTTTATCTAATATACAACAAAGGAATTTCAGAGAAGTCAAATATAACAGCTGCCCAAGTTGTAACATGTTTCTGGTCTCCAAGTCCTCCCCACTGTGTGACAGCCTTGGCAGTACACAGTGGCTCCACTCTTGTGCTTTAACCACAGAACATTTCAACATGCCAAGATGACTTACTTCAGAGTGTGGCAGGCACACTAGCTATGATGTTATGACATTTAATTTGTGCAAAATAAAATATGTAAAGTCATATAAAAATAATATTTGAAAAAAATAAACAAGCTTAGACCACGTTCTAAACACAAGCCAATGACTTCATCTGGCATAAAACCCAAGAAACAGAACTGTCCTTCAACACTACAAAAAATAAGTTTGTATTAGAATTATTAGAACAGTGCAGGATGCATGGACTCATACAGTATATTCTTTATGGAGAATTTGAGGGATTTCTTCCTGTAGTAAGTGTGCCTACTTGTAGATTTGTCATATATCATGACTTTGGAGGAAACACCTCCAGAGCAAGAGACAAGGTGGTGGAAAAGGTAACAGGTGAGAAGTAGCCAAGCACAGTGTCTGTTCCCCCAAGAGCCAATTGCGACTCTAAGAAACAATATAATTTGACTGTGTGGATGACACAGAGAGACCCCAGCGAGAACTGTTGGATGGACCCTCAGAAAGAAGACCAGACTCTGAATGATGGATCACAGACAGTCATGACTCCCTCTTCCTCCAAAGTAGAAGAGAACTGCAAATAGCCCTCTCCATTTTTGTTGCATAGAGTACAAGATGGGAATATATTGAGTTACATAGGATGACTCCAAGAAAAAAAAAAACAGCAAAGATCAAGGAATCATGTTTTCAAAGGGTTTCTCATAAGATATCTTGCACACTCATCTCTTCTATGCACCCTCCTCATACTGTTCCCTTTGGCTTGCTTGAAAAGACAATCACTGCATTAAGTGATTAAGTGCTGCTTCCCTTCTGACTCATAGTTCACAAGACCACAGCATGAATTTCAATTAGCTCTTTTTGCTGTGTGAAAAGGGGGAAAAAAAGGAAAGAAAAGAAAAATCAGACCTTGGAGAACATGGATGCTAGAAAGCATTTTCAATGCCTGCACACAGATTATTTAACTGGGGGAAACTGTACAACAAGAGCAAACAAATGGATTCACTAACCAAATGCTCCTTAAATTGACCACTTTTACACTAATTCCACTTTTGGAGAAATGTGCTACTTGGAAAGATGATATGTTGTTAGAAATCTTGCTCCAAGTTCCAGTTGGCTAGCTACTAGCTGTGAAACTTGGGCAAATCGTGAAAACTTGAAAGTCAGTCTCTTCATCTATAAGCTGGTAAAAACACAAATACCTACATTGCAAGATGCCTATGATGAAACATGAAGCTGTATTGTAAACTTCTATGAAACACAATAGATGCGAGGTAATACAGCACAGTGATGAAGCTCAGAGTGGGAAAGGTAACCCTGCTATTTGCTGCTGTGTAATCTGGGGACATTTAACTCTCTTGGTGCCTGAATTTTCCTTCTGTAAAATGCAGCTGTTGTGATGCTGTATGATTAACTCCTCAGAATGGTGCTTAGCACACTGTAAGCACAACTTCAAGGCCAGCTAATATCCCTATGGAACCGATATTGGTATTTGTGTTGAGTTATAATAACAACAACGTGAATGAAGGGAAAAGAGATAAGCAACAGAAAGAAAATGGTGCTCCCAAAAGTCAAGTCTCTCTTAGGAAACAATAGAACGTGTGTAAATAATCCCAGAGACTCAGAATTTTTAGAGCCGATTTGTAAGAACCGCTTTGCAAGAGGCAAGAAAGGAAGAATCATCTACTTAGAACACAGCCCAGTTCCTTACCACACCAATTGTTCAGCACCTTCTTCCTGTGAGTACATGTAAATGGGTATTTTGAGCATTGCCTGATGGTCACCAGTGGAGGAAAGATCTTATGACACTCAAGGAAGAATGATGAGACTGCAAAACATTCAGGCAATGCAACATTGTGATGGCTGACAAGGGATGGGAAAAATGGCTCTTGATTCATGATGTAGCAATCATCCTCACCATTTTTAAAAGTTCATTTATTTATTTGAAAGGCAGAACTACAATAAGAGATCTTCCAATCACTGGTTCACTCCCCAAATGGCCACAAGGGGCTGGGCCAGATGGAAGCCGGGCGGCTGGAGCTCCATCTGAGTCTCCCACATGGGTGGTAGGAGCCCAGGTGCTTGATTCATCATCTGCTGCCTTTCCAGGAAACATTAGCAGGAAGCTGGATCAGAAGCAGAGTACATGGGACCCAACTCAGCAGTCTGATTTAGGATGTCAGCATTGCAAGCTGTGGCTTAGCC